GTGACTCTTAAAGCTTTTGCCTTGGCCTTTGGGAGGCGTGGGGTTGATGGTGAGGCATCTGTGAAACAGCGAGAAGAGGTTCCAAGAAGTGGGTAGGTGGGGGTCACACTGTACTCTCCTGTATATAATCTCGCCCTCCCCTCACACCCTCACATTCTCTCAAGTTTGTGGGAAAGGACAGAGGACTGGGGTGTGGGGCTCAGGGATCCCAGAAGGGAGACTGGAGGTGGCTGCTAAGTCAGTGGCAAGGAGAAGACATCGGGAGAGAAATTAGGTAACAGATTTTTATTGTGATCTGCTCCCAACACCACACAGGAAAGTAAACCTCCATATGCCCACTGCTGAGATTAAACAATTACCAACATTCCCCCTTTTTTTCTTTTGTTGCTTAAAAGAAGCAAATTCCAGGTATCGTGTCATAAATGCATCGATATGCATCCCTAAAATATTTGGACACTTATATATAACTATGATGTCATTATTAATAATATCTCATTTACAGAGATGGTTAAAATTCAGGTTTCTTTTAATTGAGGTATAACTGATACATTAGCTTCAGGTGTATAATGTAACAATTCAGTATCTGTATATTTTGCAAAATGATCACCACAGTAAGTCCAGTTAACATCTGTCACCACACATAGTTTCAAGATTTTGTTATTCGTGCTTTCGGGTTTTTTTTTTCTTCTTGAGAGAGAGAGAGAGAGAGAGACAGAGAGAGAGAGAGAGAATCCCAAGCAGGCTCCACACTCAGCTCACAGCGCCTGTCTCAGGGCTCAACCCCTTGACCCTGGAATCATGAACTGAGCTGAAATCAAGAGCCGGACGTTCAACCAACTGAGCCACCCAGGCACCCCTCAAGTTTTTTTTCTTATGATGAGAACTTTTTAAAAATATTTTTAAATGCTTTTATTTCTGAAAGAGAGAGAGAGAGACAGTGTGAGCAGGGGAGGGTCAGAGAGAGAGGGAGATACATAATCTGAAGCAGTCTCCGGGCTCTGAGCTAGCTGTCAGCACAGAGCCCGATGTGGGGCTCGAACCCACAAACCGTGAGATCATGACCTGAGCCGAAGTTGGTCGCTTAACCGTCTGAGACACCCAGGCGCCCCTGATGAGAACTTTTTTTTTCCATAAACTTTGTTTTTATTGGGGCGCCTGGGTGGCTTAGTCGGTTAAGCATCCGACTTTCACTTAGGTCATGATCTCGCGGTTCGTGGGTTCGAGCCCCGCGTCGGGCTCTGTGCTAACTGCCAGCTCAGAGCCTGGAGGCTGTTTCAGTCTGTGACTCCCTCTCTCTGACCCTCCCCTGCTCACGCTGTCTCTCTCTCTCTCTCTCCTAGAAATAAATAGTAAAAAATATTTAAAAAAAACTTTGTTTTTATTTTTTTATTTTTTAAATAGTTGATTGTCAAGTTGGTTTCCATATAACACCCAGTACTCATCCCCACAAGTGCCTTCCTCCATGCCCATCACTCCCCTTCCCCTCCCAATTTATGAAATGGAAACATACAAAATAACTAAATTGGAGTCTAACTCCTTGCATTTCAGTAGTGTCTGGATTCTGTGTTATTGAGGAAACCTTGATTTACGCAAGTCAGTAGTGACAAATGATAATTTGAAATACTTAGTACCTGAAAATATGCTTTTGTTAAACTGTCCCAGAAGCCAGAAAGAGGAGCAGGAGGAAATTTGTGTTTCAAAGTTGAGTTACTAACAACATCCAACAATTTGTCTAACTTCTTAATTTTGCTGATGTAAAATTTAGAGAGTAAGTGAAGCTGTTCCTCATGAGTTTAAATTTTCTTGGTGGAAAGTATATTGCAGTGTGTAATAATATTTTAAAAACTCTCAGACGCCTTTGTGGCTGTCTCAATTGAATATTCATTGATTTAAGGCAAATTTCTTGTTTCATGTGTTCTCAGATAGATTCTCTCACACCAACTTGGCATCAGTAATTCAGTTAATTCTGACACTAACTATCCATGGTTTCTGCAGACCCCACAAATTAAGTGCTTGTTCCCCGAACACTGCCCCTCCCCTTCATTCAGATGCCAGCTGCAAGTATAGATAGTTCAGTACTGCTGACCAACTGGCTCTAATTTTGGGAGCTCCCACAGCCCTCCTTCAGGCTTGATAATTTGCTTTAACAACTCATAGAACTCAGGGTACGAAGGACAAAGTGAGGTGAAGGTGCAGAGAGTCCATGCCCTCTTCTCCCTGGGTATACACCTTTCCAGCACTTTGAGAAGGTCATCAACCTGTAAGCTCCCGAACACCATAGTTTAGGGGATTTTACCCATACGTTGGCATGGTTGATTAAACCACTGGCTATTGGTGATTTGACTTCACTTCCTGCTTCCCTGCTCCCCTGAGGTGAGGGTGGGGTGGGGCTGAAAGTTCTAACACTGTCCACCACTTGGCCTTTCTGGTGAAAGCCCCCATCCTGAAGCTACCTAGGGGCCACTAGTCAGCTCAGGAACATACAAAATCACTCCCAAGATTCTAAGAGTTTAGATCTGTGTTAGGAACCAAGGACAAAGAACAAATGCATATTTTTATTGTACCATACATGTTGAATCTAAAAAGCTCACAGTAAGCACCAAAACTTAAGTGATAACTGTCTGTACTTAGATAAGAGTCAGGATTCCATTTTCTATAACTGACTGGATGCTAGGGTATGAGCAGCAGTGTTCAGACCTGGCCTGGCTTCTCCCTGACCCCACAGCATCTGGACACACGTAAATCTCTTCAGCCCTGGGTTTCTGGTGGTATGTTTTCATTGCTGCTCATCTACCCTTTCCCCATCAGCACAGAATTCATAACAGTTCAGATATCTAAATATCTGTATTTATATAATAACATATAACTGTAATATATAACAGTTCAGATATATAAATAGAAAAATCTGCACACACATGCACGTTACATTTTTGGTACACTTTAAAACATTCTTGTTAAAATTTTGTGTGTAATGCAGTTGAGTTTAAAATCTTTTCATTTTGAAGCTTTTCATGACTGTACAGCAGAGAAAGTAGCACAGTGAAAACTCCCATATACCCATCCCCAGATTCAACAGTTATCACAATTCTGCCACATTTACTGTTTTTAAAAAGAAACTCTTTTGAAATATGTTAAAGCAAATCCCAGATACCATATGTTGAGAGCTTTTTCAAAATTACAGTATTAATAATAGTTAAATGTGTACTTGAAAACAAAACTTACATTGGATGTTGGTAGAATATCTGAAGCATCTGTGCAGAATACAGTTTGTAAGCCACTGCCTACCTAATTCTAGTCATAAAGGAGTCGTGGGAAAATATGTGTGAGTGGTTTAAAAAAATTCTTGCTGTGGTGCTCACTTTTTTGATACTGGATTAGAATTAGGGTTAGGAAGTAGGATTAGAGGGTTGTCTCTGAGTTTGTTTCTTTTGAGAGAGAGAGAGAGAGAGAGAGAGAGTGACCTTGAGAGTTCTAGCAGGGGAGGGCCAGAGAGGGAGAGAGGGAGAGAGAGAATCCCAAGCATGTTCTGCACTGTCAATGGGGAGCCTGCTATAGGGCTTGAACTCAGGAACCCATGAGATCATGACCTGAGCCAAGGTTGGTTAACCATCTTGACCAGCTGAGCCAACCTGGTGCCCCTCTGAGTTTCCTTTAAAATCACCATGATACTGTGATAATACCAATTTATTTGATTTTTGCTGCTGCTATTTGATTGCTATTTCAGATAACTAGTGAGGAAAGTACTGTCTTAGTACCCTCACTTACACCTTCCTAATTGTAACATTTCTTCTATTAAGACCCAGATTATAAGGGACCTTTAGTTTTCACAGGTGCTTGGAGAAAATACCTGGCCCAGCTTACAGACAGAGCTTCTAAAGAAAAAATAACTTTATTATTGTATGACTTATGTCTTAGTAAAGTAAGGACTATTTGGTGGTTGTTGTTGCTTTTAAATAACATCAATTTTTTTTTAAGTTTTATTAAATCCAGTTGGTTTTTCTTTTTTCAAGTAATCTCTGTACCTAACGTGGGGCTTGAACTCATGACCCCAAGATCAGTATTTGCATGCTCTATAGATTGAACCAGCCAGCCACCCTAGGGCTGTTTTTTTTTTTTAAAGCCATTTCCGTATCTGCTTTTTCTTTCTTTCTTTTTTTCTTTTTTTTTTTTTTTGGTTAACGTTTATTTATTTTTGAAAGAGATTGAGAGCGTGAGCCAGCAGGTACAGAGAGAGAGGGAGACAGAAGAGCTGAAGCAGGTTCTGAGCTGTCAGCACAAAGCCCAATGTGGGTCTCAAACTCACAAACCGTGAGATAATGACCTGAGCCGAAGTCAGATCGATAATGACTGAGCCACCCAGGTGCCCCTGTATCTGCTTTTTCAAATTAGGTTTTTTATTTGGTTCTTTCAGTTTTTTAAGTCTACAGAGAAGTTACTCTGAGCAGGCCATGACGGGTTTTTCATTTAACTTTGAAACAGTTCAAGTATTTAAACTGTAATCTGGGGAAGAAAGAATACTTGTTTTTAACATCCAAAGATTAAAATCTGCGAACTGTGTAGCATTTAGACCCTGAAGCTGTCAGGCAGGCCCTGGGAACTGTGTGGATGCCAGACCTGACCCCTCTTTCTAGCTGGCAGGGTCTCAAGCTTTTTCCAGACCTGTTACTTTAACCTGTAGAATGTTGACATCATATTACCACGCTTTGCAATAGTCTCACATTCTATTTAACCTTTTCCTCAATAGCTCTATTCGGTATAATTATTATGTGTATAACTTGGGTAAAACACGTATATGTTTTGGGGTAGGGAGATTGATTTTAGAGTATAATACCAACTGTCCAGGCTGCTCTGGTGACCTTGCTGACCCTTAGAGATTCTTAAGAGAAGCTCTTAAAGAGGGAGGAATTTGCTGCTTGTCTGGATGGATTCAGCTAGTAGAGAGTAATTACCAGTGCTAAAAAGATAAGTCTTTAATAGATGGCTTTTGTGTTTTGTTTTAGAATCACAAGAACTTGATGAACAGCTAGTAGCAGAAGTGGTTGAAAAATGTTCATCTGAGACTTGTTCTAGACCCCCAGAAAATGAAGTATCAAAGCAGGCTATTGCTTCGCACTCGGTCAAGGATTTCAAAGAAGAACCTGAACACGAGAGTAGCAAAATTTCAGTAGTGAGGCCATTTTCGATAGAAACCAAGAATTCCCCGGACGCCCTGGCAGCTCGAGGAACAAAGGTAGCTTATGGCTGTCTAACTGTGGTCTCGGGCGAGGCTTTGCCCTCCAGCACACCGGAAGCCATCCCGGACAAGGCAATGACAGAAGGCACCATGGGGGTGACCCTGGAGGCCTCCACAGAAGCTGACCTGCAGGCTGGCACCTCCTGTCCAGAGCCCGTTCCCAGCAGAAGCAAGCTACCAAAGCCCAAACCTGTCTCTCTGAGGAAGAAGACAATTGGCGAATTCTTAGAAGCCGATACTGTCCCGGAGGTCTCCCCTCTCTCCCAGGCATCCTGTCAGTTCTGCGCTGATGACATGGATGGGAACACAAATCCTTTGCTAGGAGGCGCCAGGATCCAGAAACCTCCCCCTGACACTAAGGAGACCTCGAGCGCTCTGGGCAGTGACACCAACGACTCAGGAGTTGAGCTGCTGGAGGAGTCCAGAAACTCACCTCTGAAACTCGAGTTTGATTTCACAGAAGATGTAGACAATGTAGAGTCCAGGAAAGGCCTTCCGAGGAAACTTGGCAGGAAACTGGGTAGCAAACTGCCTCCCAAGGTACAGAAAGATAGCGTCAGTAAGCCAGTAGGCGCCAAAGGTGGGGACCAGCCTGCTGACCCAGCTGCAGACACCACTCCTCCCTCCCAGGCATCCACTAAGCTGGCTCCCAGCCAGTGGGATAACCCCAACTTCAGTCCCTTTGGGGGCCACTCCGCTCTGCAGAACGCCCCCCCTCTCTCCTCTAAGGGCTCCTACCACCTTGACGAATCCATGGATCCCTTTAAACCAACTACAGCTTTAGTGAGCAGTGACTTTTGTTCTCCCGCCGGTAATCATATTAATGAAATCTTAGAATCACCCAAGAAGGCAAAGTCGCGTTTAATAACGTGAGTGATGACGGGTGTGGGTGTTGTGTTCTGTGTACTCTCTGAGTTTGACAGCTGGCTGCTTTTGGTTTTGGTGAACTGAAGTGACCTTTGAGGTGCATCAGGGCAGACACACAGCTTATATATAGCCTTATGCTGTAGCCCTCACTGTTTTGCTTAACTCTGGGGTACAATTAGACGTGCCAGAGTTTTCCCTCTGCAGGTGTCTGCTTTGTTTCTGAATCCTCAGCTTATTAAGCTGACCTCTTCCACCTCCACACCTTGGGTACATTTTTCCTATTAAAAAGAAAAAAGTGTACAACACACAGAGATTTGATGGTTTTCAGAATCCTATCCGGGCTGTCAGGAATGGCTTTATATACAGAATTCAAGTGTCAGTGCTAGCCACCATCTTCAGATTCTCTGTGGATAAAAGGAAAATGAAGTCTTTCACTTAAAACAGAAAGCTGTGACTTTTGTTGGAAACAAACATACCACGAAAAGTTGCTAAGAATTCTTATGCCTCCATGTTTAGCTTCTGGCCCCCATCAGTAAGGAGGTAAATTTCCAGTAAGAAGCAAGAATATTTCAAACATTCTTGTAAATCTCACTAAATTAGTCTTTGGTTGTGTGTTGTCTCCCCCTGCCCCCTTTTTTCCTGGGAACTCCATAACCACTTTTGCAAGATCCTTGGAGTTCCCAGAGTGATTGAGCCGTATTCCATGTAAAGTTTCAGTTTAAATTTGTTACAGGGTTACTTTTTCATAGTCCTTGAGTTGATGACAATACATCCTTTTGTGACCCTGTGACATTTTACCAAAAATAAGTAGGACCAATGACATGGAGGATGCAATGTGAAAAGGGAGGATGAGAAGAAGTACTATTATTTTCAGTTGTCACCATAGATGAGTCAGGGAAATAATGTTCAGCTTTACTGTGACCTAAGGGAGTATGCTAGTGTGGCGTGATGAATTATACTAGAGAGAAACGTTTAAAGAGCAGAAAGTATCAGGACCAAGAAGCTCAAACCATGAGAAATCCTTTCTTCAGCAACCCTAGAATGCCTAAGGTGAATGAAATGTCATCAGTAGCTCTTGCTTTGTTCTTTGGTTATATATGAGCAGTTAAATGGTTGCTGAAAAATACTATTGGTCGGGGGCCCTCCAAGTGCTCTTCTGTGGCTAAGGTTAGTTGCCTGTCTAGACAGTGCTCGGGGTATGCGTTGGCCACCTTGTTGCCTTGGTGCTTCCTGTGGGGTGCTTCTGGCTAGCAAAATTAGTAAGGCGTCCTGGGAGCCTTTCAGTTGCATGTTGAAGCTGTGTAGCCAGCACATTCATGTTAGAGAAGACTAAATCTGGACCAGAGGGAGGCAAGTTTATCATACACCTAATTTTCAGTAGCAGAAAGTACTCTCTCAGTCCTTCCGCCTTCACCCAGTAGCATTTTCTTCCTGTTGTTCTTAGTGAGTCAACTTCCTGATTTAATATACCTTATGGATTTTTTTTTTGACTCTTACACAGCCAAACCTCTTCTCTCCTTGTTCTTTCCAAACGAGAGGGTGCATGACCTCTTCTGTAACTCGGGCTTTGTTTAGAAAATGCCTTCCTTGGTGAGGAAGGACTGGAAGGAGAAGCGAGTGGGGAGTTAGAAGTTCTGTTAACAGGTCCCTTTGTGTGATTTTTTTAAAAGATGCGTGTAATTGGCATCTCAGATTCTCCTCTTGTGAAGTGGAGATATCATACTATCTACGATTGGTACTTTGTGAATCAAATAAGATAAGTTAACATAAAACCATTTTAGGCTTCTTTGGTGATACATACCTACAGTGGTTACGAGTGGATACAGTGTCCCCTATTATTGTATTCATGCATTGCCTTTAATCTGGGTGACGAGACATTTAAATGTTCTCAGTAGTGAAATGTTGGTTTTATATAGTCACAAATATTTGAAAATTTACTTTTCCTCTATAAATTTGAATATGAGGCATTTCTGAGTGTTTCTACCACTCTTACTGCTTTAGAGAGAGAGGTTCCTGATAATCATTTGCTCACCAGCGGTAACATTCATGAATATGACATTTTTATTTGTGTCTCACCTCATAGAAAGAATTTTGCAGCCTTTACATCTGTCAGACTACAGATAAATATTCCAGGCTTTACATGATTTTTTTCTCCATCTGTCTGTCTCTTTCCTGTCTCTAATTTTGTTGGTGCATCAGGACTACTGAACAAGTGAAATTTCTCTGTTTTCTGTTGTAAGTACCCCTGCCGTTTCTGTTCGTCCCTAGGACCGTTGGCACGTCCCCTCCCTGGACCATCTCTCCATAGCATGTTGGCTTCTGTTTCTGAGTTTGACCTTCTGATGACTTTTTTTTTTGCATTTCATTTGCCACTTCATGAGTCAGCTTAGCCTTGCAAACGTCTGTACCTAACGGAGTGGAGACCAGCCTTCCACCTTAGGTGCGAGAGCTTGCGCTCCCTGGCTCGGCACGCCTCATGTGGCGCTTTGGTAATGCGTGCTGGCTTGGCCCCCACGTCATCCCGACAGTGGTCGCAGGGACTGACTGCTCTGCTATTGTTGGAAATAATGGACTTCTTTGCTCGGATAAGGTTGCTGGCTCGGAGCAGGGGGTAAATTTCAGAGGCAACTCAAATTTGGTGCTTTGGTGGCAGGGGGTGGCGTTTAGTAAGAGCATTAGGAAAGAAAACCAGAAACTAAATAATGGTCGTGCACATTCTGGGAACTTCATATGCTCGTCTTCCCCTCCTCCCCCCCAGCCCTGTCCCCTCTGCAGAAGAAGAAAAAGTTGTAACTTTACTTTGTCAGAGTGGCATTTTTACTGGAAATTTTAAGTTGATTAAAACAGAACAGAATCTGAACTAATCTTTGGATCATAAATTATGTGCTAGTTAAAAACTAACAGGTGGTTTGAGTTTTCCCCAGTTCCTGTCTTAGCACAAATACTTGACATTTGCTTTCCCTCTTACTGCTTCATAGGAATGGTAACAATGCACGCAAATAGTTTTATTTTTGTACTTTCTGTTGACCACAGTTCTTCTCTGTCAGCTCACAGGTGTGGAACTGTCATATCAGACCTATGTGGCTTCTAGTGCAATAAAGAACTTTTTTAAAGAATCTGGTCCAGCGTGGTAATTTTTCTAATGAATGTCAAAGCCGAGTGAGTAGGGATCAGATGAATTGAATATCTCTAGTGCTAAGGCTACCTCCGAAAGGCTTGGTAGCATGTAATCAGAACCTGTAGGGGTTAGAGTCCTGGTGTTTAACATCCACAGAAGCACGTGAGGAGGTCTTTTCAGAGAGTGAGCTGAGCTATACTTCATTGCTTGCCTTGTCTCTTGGGAGAAAAATTCAGAGACATAAAAAGGGGTCCTCCTCTCACATGTGTAGATGTAGAACTCGTGTGGTGCTGTATGCTTTCGCTTCTCTCCGCACACATTGCTGTCTTTGCTCCATCTCATAGCTTGGAAGTTGCCAATGTGATTCCAAAATGGCCTGTTTTTGTTTTTTGTTTTTGTTTCTCCTTTCCAGGAGTGGCTGTAAGGTGAAGAAATATGAAACACAGACTCTTGCTTTGGATGGGTGTTCTCAGGTGAGTCCGTGCCTATCACCAGGATGTCTCTTAGACCAGTGGTCCCCAAAGTGGTTGTTTGTATCCTTCAGGGGGAGTGGGGGGCAGGTTGATGAAGAGTTTCCAGTGGGTGTCTGAGTATCTAGCTTTGAGGAAACCAATTGCCAGAACCTTAACTTCCCACAGTGACCTGAGAAAGCTTCTGAGAACAGAGGAACCTCCCTCATATTACCCTTTTCCCACTTCTTTTGGGTAAAGTTTTCTCTCATTCTAAACCTTACTAAGGTGCATTTTCACTGGGTGTGAAATGTCTGGGACACCAAAGGGCAGATTTGAAATATTGGTGTATATTTTAAGAAAGTGAAGGAGTATAAGAACTTCTTTTAAAAGTCAAATGGTTTTCCAGTTCCTTGCTTTCAACAAGGTAGGAGAACCTGAGATGTCACCTGATAGATTATTGAAAATTACCTTCGACACCATGTTATATGTCACTTACATATCAATTTAAAAACTAATATTTGATTATAGATTTCTTTGGTATATAACTTGGAAAGAGTTTCAAAGAATTAAGAGACATTTCCATTACAAAACTTTTTTCTGTTTCACTTATTTATATAAATAGGCTTAAATATATAAATCTCTGCATTGATTTATAATTTAAAAATGAAAAGCAGGAATAAAATTCATGCAGACCCTTATTTCCTTCTAGCAATAAATATTTATCCCTGACCGTATGAATTGAGAAACAGAAAACCAAGCACCCAGACCCCTCTGGTTGTGATGAGATGCTTTTTAAAACTATTTCAGCATAACCATGATTACAGAAACATGTATTCATTGGTTAACAGAATGCATCTTAGGTTTAACTTATTTTACACAGTTTGGACCAAAAACTTGGGTACATGGCTTAAGATTAAAAATAAACAAAAAATGATTTGTCCTCTGATTTATTTTTCATCTCTTACAAGTGTGTAAATTATCCACTTTCAAATGCTGCTAAAGCAGGCAACAAGAACCATGAAAAATGTACCTTTTGATCTGATTCAGAAAAGTTGCGTGTATCATACTGCAAAAGGGTCAAATAATTGACTCAACAAAATGCAATCAATACAAAAGTCAAAACTTTTGCATTTGATAGTACATCAAAAGTTGTAATATTTTGGGGATAAATTGTGCATTAGTTAGTTATACTGATTAGTTCTCCAGAAGCAAAAATGTTAATACTTCCAAGACTTATGGTCATAGAATTTTTTTTTCATTTTTATCTTTTTTTAACTGAGAAAGATGGTAGAGAGAACTTTAAAAGACTTCCAAGCATACAGATGCTTTTTTAAAGGATAATTTCTTGGTGGAAGTACAAACTCAGAGGAGAAAGGGAATGATGCAAATTTCTGACTATTAAAACTATTGAGGAATGTGTTTGTGCTTGATTTTAAATAGACGATAGAGTATCATCACATCACTAGGGTAACTAGATTGAATTAGGCAAGGTCAATTTTTAAAGGGTACCAGATATTGTATCCTTTGCACTTATTTGTATTTATACTGAGATGTTTTTGGATGTCACCTGAAAATATAGTGGGGTCCCTAGGTTTTCCAAAAACAGTTCAGGGTGTAGATGAGCAAAATATTTGAAAACCATTGCCTTGGACCACTTCAACTTCATGCTTATAAACCTAGGCTAGAAAAGATTAATTTTTCAAACCTCAGATGTGAAGGTAAGTTCTAGAAAACATAACATTCTCTGATTGAGAGACCCCAGCTTCCTTTTTGATTAGCACCATAATTTGTCACTGAGTCCTTGTTGGATATCCATGTGGAATGGTAGCTGGCTTGCCCCATACCTGAGATGTCGCTTTCCCCACTGTCGGTTTTCCTAAACGATAGCATCTGGTGTGTTGCATTTCCCAGGATGAAGGAGCAGTGATCTCCCAGATCTCAGACATTTCTAATAGGGATGGCCATGCTACTGATGAGGAGAAACTGGCGTCCACTTCATCTGGTCAGAAACCAGCTGGGGCCGAGGTGAAAGGTGAGCCAGAGGAAGACCTGGAGTACTTTGAATGTTCCAATGTTCCCGTGTCTGCCATAAATCATGCGTTTTCATCCTCAGAAGCAGGTATGGAAGCATATGTTCATCTTTATAATATACATAAGCCTAGAAATGCCTGAAAGCCGCTGTAAAGAGATTAGAGAATTGGGTCACTTGGAGGATAGAGGTAGGATGCTGATCTATGCTTTTCTTTTCTGCCTAGAAAAGAGGCACAGAAGGGAGTCTTATCAAAGAACCAGAGACATAGGGATGAGTGTGGCACAAGGCACAAGAGACACTGACGTATGAGACGACTTGAATTTTGTAATAATTTATTTTAAGGAAGCCATATCTCCAAATACAGTGGACTGTAGCCATGTTGTGATTGTTCAACTTACAGAAATAATCTTTAACATGTATAGTACCTTACCATGTGCAGGCATAGTTCTAAGTGCTTTACATGTCTTAGCCAGTTATTCCTTGGTGGGTATTGCCCCCCCCCCCCCCCCCCCCCCCCAATTTTCAGAGAAGGAAGGTGAGACATAGAAGTTAAGTAAGTCAGCCAAGGTCACTTGACTAGGAAATGGAAAGAAGTAGGGTTCGAACCTTGACCGTCTGGTTCATGGTATTTTAGCCACAGTATTGATGTGAGAGAGATTGCTTTTGTTACTAGAATGCTACACATTTTCCTTTTTAGGGATGTGGTAGATTGAAAATGACCAATATCCTAAAGAATCCTTAATGTTCTAATAAGAACTAACTAGACTAACCTATGCTGAAGCTTCTTACTGTTGAACTCATTAGAACATTGTAGAGCTGAGGCCTCTTTCCAGGCCCCACATTATTTCTGTGGCCTTAAACCTGACTTGTGCAATGTTTAGAGCCATGTCCCTGACCACCTTAAATGTTATAAACATCTTATGTTTTCAGCAATGTAATTGGATTTGGGGACTTTTATACATAGAACTTTAAAGATCACAATCAAACCAGGGAAGTAGGTGGAAGTCCAGACTTCGCAGGAGTTACCCCCTTGGCCTCTCCCCGCTGCCCAGGTCGCAGCTTCCCATCTGTAAAGGACACATGCCGGGCACTGTTCCAGCTTTCTTCCCAGGCCGCTTTCCCATCTGTACCCCTTTACCCCAGTTACGCAGGATAACCCTGAGTACTCCTGCACCTGTGCTTATTTCTTACATTTGAAATACCTTTCTTTGCCATCTCCTGTAAAAATTCTGCCCATTCTTTCTGGTTTCTCTCAAAACTATCTCTTGGCTTCCAGTACACTTTATGTTCCCCTCACATTTCTTCTTTCTGTTCCTGTTCCCCGTGTATTTATTATAAAAGTTGTCTTCAATAAACTTGTTGAGGTTAAGGACTATGGGTGATTCCTCTTTGAACTTCCTCCCGTAGAGAAGCATGTAGATAATTTGAATTCTATTCTTCCTCATTAGGAGGCAGTTCCCTCAACAGAAATTTCTAGAGCAGGGGTTCTGTTAGCTACAGTGCTGTCCTCAGAGGTAGTGAATAGCTAGTGCTATGCTGTGTGTAACTGATCAGCCATGTCCTGGGAGCAGGCAGAGACTGGGATCAGGTGGGGGCGGTAGGCGTGTGGAGGTGGGAAGTGAATACGGGCTCTGTCAGGTGAATCAGGCAGAGTCTATTTCCTGGGGAGAGTCACCTTTGCGCTAGGTATTGATAGAGGCGTACATAGGTGTGCGCCAGGGAACAAGGATCTCTCGCAGGAATGGGAAGGAACCTGCCATGTTGAATGCCCAGTAGTTCTCTGTGAGTCTAGGACAAGTGGGAAAACGAGGTTGTACTGAGGAATCTGGACCTGGCCCTTCAGGTGTAGGGGAGTCATTGAAGGTCTAAGCAGAACAGCGATGGTCACATTTGTGTTTTCAGTAATCCACTATTAACAGACAGTGCACTAAGATGGTAATGTGTTGTTGCCACGTGGAGGATTGTAGCTCGAAAATTATGTGCTGTTTCATAATTTAAAAAATTTCTTCAATGAGTATACATTCCTTTAATTAGAAAAAGCATAGTGTTTTTTATTTTAATATTGCCTTTGGTGGTGGTAGGGTGTAAGGTAGACTGGAGACAAGTTTGAAGGGTGTGGGGAGGAGAATGAATTTAGATTTTCAGGCATTGACATTTAGAGTTTATTGTTTTATCTGCTCTGTTAACTAGTCTGAGGATACTCTTCTGGGCTGGAATTTGAATGGACTCCGACTTGGTAGTAATAAAATAGCATTCTTGTTGCTTCCTCTTTGTGAAATAGTCCCGTGGTTGGCACAACTTACAGAACTTTCCATGGACACAAGGTGGCAGCCTTGCTGTTCTTTCCACCTGAAGACGGTGATCCTGTTTGCCTGCCTAACCATACACTCCCCTTTCTTCTGAATATTTTGGACATTTAACACAGACAGCACAGCCATCAACAAAATGCCAGTGCTCCTTTGAAAATCTTGAAATGCTGTTCATGTGTTCATATATGTCAGTCTGGGCCTGCGCTGAGGTTTCCAGAGTCTTTCACTAGGAAAGAAAGGAACTGACTTCTTAGGATAACTATAAAAATGACTCTCTGTGTTTTAGGCATAGAGAAAGAGATGTGCCAGAAGATGGAAAAAGATGGATCTACCATGACTGTAAGTTCCTAAATTTCTGGAGGGAGGGAGAGGTGTAGAGAAGTACACATCAGTTTTTTTCTTCAGTATTTATTTTATTTATTATTATTTTTTAATGTTTGTTTATTTTTGAGAGAGCACAAGTGGGGGAGGAGCAGGGAGGGAGGGAGAGACAGAATCCAAAGCAGGCTCCAGGCTCTGAGCTGTCAGCACTGAGCCGGACAAGGGGCTTGAACTCCTGAACTGTGAGATCAAGACCTGAGTTGAAGTTGGACGCTCAGCTGAGCTACCCAGGTGCCCCTCAGTATTCATTTTAAAGCCCATGTTAATGTTAATTCATTAAATAAACTCTAGTCATTGTTTGGTGGTGGGGGTGAAATGTAAATATAAGTTTGTTTGCTTGAAGAGCTCATAAGACTATCCTGAGATCTCCTATCCAGTGGCCACTGAGCACCTGACCTGTAGCTAGCCTGATTTGCAGTGTCTTGTTAGTGTAAAATACAACTAGTCTTTGAAGACTTAGTACAAAAAAACAAAAAGAAAAAATGTCTCGAACTTTTTATATTAATTACATGTTGAGGTGATCATAGATATATTGGGTTAACGGAACTATATTATTAAAATTAATTTCACTTATATCTTTTTACTTTTTAAATGGCTACTGAAAAATTTTAAATTATGTATGCTTTTCATTGTACTTTTTTTTTTTTTTGAACAGTACTGGTAGTAGATAGAAAGTGGAAATTAATGATATGTGAATGTTATAATAGAACGTGTTCCCAGGCCTGTGGGAGCCAGGGCTGACTGCCTGTGGAGCAGGTATCTGGGAGGTTGAATTTGAGCTCATTAAAAGAAAATTATTTAAAACTTTTTAGACTTACAAAAGTAGTACAAAGAATTCCTATAAATCTTGAATTTTTTTTTTAGCATATGTGCTGCCGAAGCGAGCCCAAATCTTGCATGTTAGTATTTTATCTTTCCTGACCTTGACACTTTTGAAGAATACAGGTCAATTTTGTATGATATCTTTCAATTTGGGTTTGTCCAGTGTTTCTTTGTGATTAAATGCAGTTTATGCATTTTGGGCATGAATCCATCAGAAGTGACGCTGTGGATCTCAATGTGTCCCGTTAATGGTGGAATTAACTTTGATCACATGGTCAAGGTGGTGGTGTTTGAGGTTCCTCCATTTGAACTTAGTTGTAAAGAAAGAATAGGGTTTGTGAGGCTGGTAAGACAGTGAAGGGCGTTCCGGGCAGCAGAGGTGGTCTGCACAAAGGGAGGGAGTGAGAAGCATGGCCTTTATAAGCAAGTGGAAGTGTTGGTAATCTCATGTGATCATAGGGTACGCTACATAGGTAGGTGAGGGCCAGGTCACTAGGGGCCATCGACATGCTGCCAGGAGGCTTAGAATTCATGGCAGAAGCAGTTGGGAACTATTGGGGGATTTTAAGTAAGGAGCATCATGATCAGTAATAGTTCAAAGGATGGGGTGGCGGCTGAGAGATTTATCAGCTAGAACCATGACTGCTTGGTGAGAGACTTGGGAGGCATGCATTGCAGCTATAGAGTGGAGGTGGCGGTGAGGGAAGGTTAGCAAAAGCCACCCAGGGTTTCTTCCTTGAACGTCCGAGTGGTCAGTGTTACTGATAATCCACCCCACAAACCTGATATCACCTTGGTCTCCTCCCTCCCTCTTATTCCCACAAGCAAGATCTGTGGTTTCTATGTCCAGAAACCATATATTGCAAATCTACTTTTCTCCAACCCGTGGCCACCACCAGTCTTCTTCAGTATGATGGTAAGGGGCGCCTGGGTGGTTCAGTCAGTTGAGCGTCTGATTTGATTTCGGCTCAGGTCATGATCCCAGGTGTGAGATTGAGCACCATGTTGGGCTACGTACTAAACATAGAGCCTCCTTAAGATTCTCTCTCTCTCTTCCCCTCTACCTCTCTCCCTTGCTCATGTGCTCGCTTTGTCTCTCTAAAATTAAAAAAAAGAAATGGAGGAAGGAGTAATTTTCTAACCAATCTCTCTATTCCCAGGCTCATTCTCTTATCCCTTTACGTAAGCCAGGGTGATGTTTGAAACTCAGAACTGATCTTGTTACTCTTTGCCTAAACCTCTAGGTTGGCTTCCCTTGTCTTTAGAATAAGTTCAGACTCTTCCTGTGGCCGATGTGGCTTTCTGCAGTGGGATTCTGCCTCTCTCTCTCCAGCATCTGCTGCCGCCCCTCTCCCTCGCACATCTGACTTGCCTTAACATATGGAATTTCTTTTAGTTCTGTGAACCTACCCCTTTGAGTCACTTCCTGTTTTCCCTTCTTTCCTTCTGACCCTTTAAGCTTGGTGCAGGTAGGGACCATGATTGTTTGCTGGTACCTTAGCACCTACCACAATAAATACTGCTAAACACAGGAATCAGTAAATTAAGAATACAGCTGGCCACTGCCCGGCTCAGTTCATGAAGCACACGACTCTTGATCTTGTGGTTGTAAGTTTGAGTCCCATGTTGGGTATAGAGATTAAAAAAATAAAAAATATTTAAAAAAAAGAATACAGAAAGAAAAGCAGAATTGTAGGAATTTTTAGATCTGTGGCTCTGAGACATCTGTGGGACCAGTTTCTAAGTTCATAGTTCCAGGAAACAGTTCTAATAAGTATATAGCATGAGTTTAGGAAAATTCTGGGTTGGCTTTAATAGATTTGAGGGCCTTTGGGACACAGGATAGTTGGAAAAAAAAAAAAACATTTTGTATCTTCACTAACATATATGTGCGGATGACACATCACAGCATATGCATTTGTATATTTATAAAACAAATTGTACAAGAGGCACCTGGGTGGCTCAGTTCGTTAAGCACCTGACTTTGGCTCAGGTCTTGATCTCACAGTTCGTGAGTTTGAGCCCCACGTCAGGCTGTCTGCTGTTGGCACAGAGCCTGCTTTGGATCCTCTGTCCCCCCTACTCTCCCCCACCCCTGCAGCCTTCTGTCTGCTCATGCTCTCTCCCCCACTCATACCCTCTCTTCTCTCTCTCTCTCTCTCAAAAATAAGTAAACCTTAAAAAAGAGAAAGAAAATTTAGAAAAAAAAAGTTGCACAGAATTGTATCTGTCAGGGCACCTGGGTGACTCAATTGATTGGCATCTGACTCTTGACTTCAGCTCAGGTCATGATCCCAGGGTTGTGGGCTCAAGCCCCCTATTGGGCTCCATGCTGAGCGTGGAGCCTGCTTGGGATTCTTTCACCCTCTCCTTCTTTCCCTCTCCCCTGCTTGCACATGCTCTCTCTCAAATTAAAACACACAGATAAACCAATATCTACCTTTCTTTATGTGATTCACTCTGATACTCTGTTTCATTTTTTTAATGCAGACTGTGTGTCCCAGTAAATTGTTTTCAGGACTCACTCTTGGGCCATCACCCGTGGTGTTCCCTAGAGGACACAGTGAACAGTAGGTGTGAAGGTAGATGGGTGGAGGAGGAGCCTGTGGAAGCCCGAACAAAAGGAGGATGTGCACAGAGCGCACAGGGTCGCATAAGCGTTGTCCCCTCACAAGGGCCTCATGCATTAGTGACATCTGGGCAAAATCACTGTTTGGGGAGCCGGGCCACCTAATTGCAGCACAGCCACTCCTGGGCTTCGGCCCGTCATTTGTCATCTGTGAGAGGGAGGGATGCCTGCCATCTGCACCCGTGAGAGGGTGAAACTACACGCTCCAGCAGAAGAGCCTGCTTGTGCACTTGGGGAAGCTAGTTCCTTTGAAGTTGTCCAAGTACTGCGGGGGCGCGTCCTTGTATTTTCAGTGTGTGATAATAGCAAAGGGATGACTGAAGAAGGTCATGTCGAGGGGACCAAGCATTGGTCTGCGCAGCTGCAGATTTCGTTGGCTTATCCAGTTTTTGAAACAGACTGGTTCAACTACAGACTGGTTCCACGTCTGGATTCCCATCTTCCTCAGCCATAGGACAAGAGCACCTGTCTGCCCCGTCAGTGGCACAGATGAGGGAAGTGGTAGCATAAAAGACGGCAGCTGCAAAGAGCTGGGCCACTATGAGGTGGGAAGGAAAAGGGTGGGAAAGTGAGCGAGAAATAAAAATGGGGCATAATTATCTTCGGAGCCAGCGGCTGAACATATCCTATGTTGCGATCTGTTAAAAAGTAACCCCATGGGGCGCCTGGGTGGCTTAGTCGGTTAAGCGTCCGACTTTCGCTTAGGTCATGATCTCGCGGTTTGTGGGTTCGAGCCCCGCGTCGGGCTCTGTGCTGGCTGCCAGCTCAGAGCCTGGAGCCTGTTTCTGTCTGTGACTCCCTCTCTCTCTGGCCCTCCCCTGCTCACGCTGTCTCTCTCTCTCTCTCTCTCTCCTAGAAATAAATAAAATATTAAAAAAAAAAAAAAAAGTAACCCCAGTTGAACTTCCTAAAGTGGATGTATTTCCACTTCTAGAATGTGGAATAGGCATTGCATAAAGTAATTGCAGTATTCAGAAGGCTCAGTGAAGAAATCTGGTTGGTTTAGCATTCACTGTTTTAAGCCTCTCTGTGCTGCTTGCAAGTGCACTCCCATTGCAATCTCGTTGCCAGTGGATGGTGGCGGCCAGGGCAAAATACCTGAAGCCAGAGGACAGTCAGCGGTGGGCAGCCAGTCTCATCTTGTTTATCAGCCATTGGTCTTCAGCATTTTTCAATTAGGAGTCAATAATAATAATAACTTATTGCTATTTTTAAGGAAGTCTTAAACTTCTTAAAAGTTGAGTTCATTTGGATTTTATAGGCATGTCTCAGTTAGAGTGAAGTACCTGGGGTGGTATAGTCCAGTGGGTTCAAGGTCAAAAGATGAGATGAACCCAGCATGCTGTGAGAGATTAATGATGCTGATTCTCCCACTGCAGGGAGCTGGGCAAAGAGGTTTCCATTGTGGCATCTATGCTCACTGCAAATCTGCGACCAGGACTGTGTTGGGTTCCACTATCTGTAGAAGGATGTTTCTTGGCCCCTAACTGTAAATGCTTTGGGGACAGGGAAAAGTATTAGGGGACATGAGAAAGGACCCTTTTGGAAGGCCACAATTGATCGATTGGGTTAGCATCTTTGTTAAACACATTAGATTGCCCAGGCTAGGAAGAGATCCACGTCAGTTCTGGTAGATTCTGTAGGCTTTCTGTGCTGTTTGATAAGCATAAAGGATGGAAGAATGTGAGAAGCTAAATCCTGGGGGTCTTGAAAAAGCAGTTAAAATAGGCCATAGCCATAAATTACTAAGAGCTGTTGAGGTTTGAGCCGTGATCCGAGAGGCATGCAGCCCGGTGGAGCGGAATGGCCAGGGGAGGCAGGCTGCAGGCCACAGAGCCTAGTCATCTGGATGTTTCTGCCACCATCTGAGGTCTGATCTCCCACCTCCAACAGAACGCTGCCTCTTCCAGACACATTAAGCTGTTGAACAAGTGGCAGACAGCTCATTCGTCCCCTCAGCAAATGATTGAGATGCTGAGCTTGAGAATAGACATTGATATTTTCCTTACTAGGAAAACTCTTTTGGCTTATTTCCCAAATTCTTGCTAACTTAAGGGTCAGGGGAGGCACAGAGAAGCTGTTTCCTAGAATTAGTTTGGGGATTCTGGCTTCAAATAATAAAAACACAAAAGGCTGATTTTAAAGTGTATTAATTTAGAATCAAATCCAACAACAAAGTGAACTAAGTGTGTCAGCTTGACCTAGGGTGTTCTCCCTCTAGGCAAGTTACACAGGAAGCAAGATTATGAGAAAGTCTCTTGAGAAGAAGCAGGGCACAGGAAGTTAATGGGATGACTCAGATGTCCAGAGGTTTATTCATTATCCACAAGAAACACTTATCATTTCTGGCTCTGGAATCCTGGAACAGCTTTGCTGGGTGCCTCTGACCTCTCACAGGCTGTGATCTATGTATTGACCAGAGCTGTGGCCATCTATAGGGTCAATCAGGGGTGGATGCATTTCCAAGCTCACTCACGTAGCTGTTGGCACGTCTCAGGTCCTCACTAGCTGTTGGCAGAGACCTTGATTCCTTGCCACGTGGACTTCTCCATAGAGAGTTTCTCACAGTGCAGAAGCCAGAGTCTTTTTGTAAACTAGTATCAAAAGTGATATCCCATGCCTTTTACCAGAGTCTCTTTAGAAGTGAGTCACCTGGGGCACCTGGGTGGCTCAGTCGGGGGAACGTCCCACTTCGGCTCAGGTCATGATCTCATGGTTTGTAGGTTCGAGTCCTGCGTTGGGCTCTGTGCTGACAGCTCAGATCCTGGAGCCTGTTTCAGATTCTGTGTCTCCCTCTCTCTACGACCCTCCCCTGCTCATGCTGTCTGTCTGTCTCTCTCAGAAATAAATAAAAACATTTAAAAAATTAAAAAAAAAAAAAAAAAAGTGAGTCACCAGGGCCAGCCTGTACCCCAGGAGAGATTACACGAGAGGATACCAGGAGGTACCAGGAGGATAGGGGTCATTGGGCGCCATTTTTGAGACTGCCCACCACAGGTGCTTCTGGCTCCTAGTGATAGATCTATCCCAAGATAGTGTTTCTAGGGGGACCTCAGACTCCTGTCAACATGGTGGGCACCTTCCCCCAAAGGCTGCTTGAAGTGAGCACTGCCAGCTTGTGGTTTTTCCATTTCCCTTTTCTGTGGCCTCAACCAGGGCTTTCTGTGTCAGGCCCTTCTTTGTGAAGCTAAATGTGAAAATGGTGTGTGTGTTTTTGAACATTTTTTAGAGAAAGAGCAAGTTATAATGACCATGAAAAGTTTAAAAACCACTGGTCTAAGTTGACTTTGGACTTTGTGTTCAGTCTTGGTTCAAACAAGATACCAGAGAACTGATTGATTATGATCACTAACCACCTGATTGATTATACAGATACTTAGGATTGTTAAGATTATTGCCAGATCACTTGGGCTGGCATTTCAATGTCATGTCATTAGATTGGCTTTTTTCCTATTTACACAAAGTTTACTTACATATGGTGGGATGAAATAGCCCCCAAAATGCCTTTTAGGAAGGATAATAGGATGACGTCCATGTTCTTGTGAAAAAATACTAACCACTGCGGCTTTCTGGAACCTGAGTGTCTGATAAAAGCATAAGTTGGTCACATCAGAAGGGAACTGGAAACTTAATAGCAAGGAAGAAGCAAAAAAATGAAAGCACAGGCACAGACCTTGACTTTACACACAGCCACTTTGTACAGGGACCATTAGTGCTGTACACCTGACACCCCACCCGGGCAGGGCCTGGATGCCACTGCAGAGCAGCTGCAGTTCCTGATGACCCTGACTCATTCTGGGGGGGAGTCCACGATGTGTTTGCCATTTCTACTTCCTTAGGCTTCAAACTTAGTAGTCCAATTTGGAAACATTTCTACCCAAAGTGGCTAAAGTGGTACACAGAATATCACTATGTTAAAGAGTTGATACCTTTTTTTGGAAAAGTTACATGGAACACATCATCCCCCCAAACCAGAAACCCCCTGAAAAAATGAGACATTTTCCACTTTATATAAAGACACTCTTTGGTGCATGTGATCATTGGTGACTGGTCACTGGTCACTGATTATCATAAGAGTTTCTCCTTTTTGGATAAGAAAACTTCACTAGGCTCTCTGTTAAATGGAAACCCATGCCCCCCCCCCACCCCATATTCAGTTTTTTTCTTTATTTAAAAACATTTTTTTAATATTTAATTTTGAGAGACAGAGAGAGAGACTGGAAGAGGGGTAGAGAGAGAGGGAGATACAGAATCCGAAGCAGACTGCAGGCTCTGAGCTGTCAGCACAGAGCTCGACATGGAGCTCAAACCCATGAACTGTGAGATCATGAGCCGAACCAAAGTCGGACACTCAACTGACTGAGCCACCCAGGCGCCCCCAGTTTTTCCTTTAAATAACTACTTTAACGAGATTTGATCTTTTTGAAATTATTTTTAATGTTTTTTAAATTTATTTCTGAGAGAGAAAGACACAGCGTGAGCAGGGGAGGGTCAGAGAGAGAGGGAGATACAGACTCTGAAACAGGCCCCATGCTCTGAGCTAGCTGTCAGCACAGAGCCCGACGTGGGGCTTAAACCCATGAACCGTGAGATCATGACCTGAGCCAAAGTCGGACGCTTAACCAACCACCCAGGCACCCCTGACTTTTTTTTTTTTTTTTGTTAAGTTTCCCCTGCCGTGTTTTTTTTTTCTTCAAACATGTTTTTAAAGATTGTAATTTTTTTGCTAATGAGGAAACTCTTGAAGGATATTTGGGGTTAAGAAGCTGAAGGCTGAACACATTAAATGTAACTTCTTCCCCCCTTAGGGACTGTTGGAGTCTTCTGTGGAGAAGGCCCCCGTGTCTGTGGCCTGTGGCGGGGAGAGCCCCTTGGATGGCATCTGCCTCAGCGAATCTGATAAAACAGCCGTGCTCACCCTCATAAGAGAAGAGGTAAAGGCCGTCGTGTTCTGTCCACTTATCACCCCCGTGTCTTTGTCAAGCCCGTGTGCCAGCAGGTAGATTCCATCTCTGTGCGGCCTGAGTCATCCCTGGCTGGAAGTTCCTATTTCCTGCAGCTTGTTGAGCTCATATAAAGGGCTCCCTGTAAAACTCCGCCTTGGTGCTGGAGTCCTCACATCCTGGTTTCCTGGGAACAAAGCTGACAACACTTCTTTATCTTTCAGCCTTGAAGTTTTTAAATAGCGAATTCTGCCAACTCTACCCACATTTGTAACTGAATCAGTGCCTTCCTTTAACAGAAGATGTATGTTCATGCTTAAAAATTTCTTAAATTCTAGACTTGCAATAATATAAAATTGTTTCTTTCATCCCTTCTTTAACTAAACAGTTCAATTCTTAAATCCATCTGCTGTGTCTCTTGAACAGCCTCTGTTCAAATAGATTACTGCTAGGCCTTTCCTGGGTAGTCTGAAAAATATGAAAGATGCTGTTACCCAGTGGTACTGTTACCCAGGGTTACCTGGTGGTACTGTTCCCCAGTTACCACTCTTTCTGTCCCATTGTGTTTCAAGGCTGTATTTTTTGGGTTTGGTTGTGCATCTCTTGATGATTCCACTTTTTTTTTTTTTTTAAAGAAGGGAATTCCCTTCGTGTAGCAATTTTGTTTTCATAATAATGAGAGTAGTTAAGAACCATTGATATCAAGTTCTTTTAAAGCTTCAGAAAATAGCATTAAGTTGATAATGAGGGATGTCAGCTGGTCCCGTTGTCAGAACTCGGGAGCAATGATAAGGAGGCCTCCCCAAAGTCTTGTCAATGAGAAAAATGACCTCATCTTCCTCCTGAGAGCGAAAGGATGCGGTGATGCCCTAGTGGAACAGAATAAGAATGTGCCTCATCACCTCAGGCAGATGGGCTGGCTGCAGGGTTCTTGAGATCCTGATTAAAGGCACCAGAATAAAGAATGTACCAAATAGAGAGCAGCCTAGAGAAGTATAGTAAAAGGAGGGCAGTGGTGCCCTTATAAGCTCTGCCCAGGCACACAGAGTTTGAGGTAATGAGTTTAGAGTATTTCTTCCCAGTTAGCAAGAGCACACCAAATGGGGAGATGGGTTCCACTCTGACAAGCAAGATCCTGCCTACGGCGAATGGGTGCATCTGGTGAATCGGTACATCTGGCTAGAGGATTTGAACTTCTGAGCCCCAAGTTGTGAGTCCATTCTTATCAAGCAGAGATGTCCAGAGGAAGAGAATGTGCTGGTCCTGCTAATGCTCTCATTTTTCTTATCCTAAGTAAAATTAGTGCTTTGGTTAAGATGTGTCTCTGCCAGGCAGGTGGCTCTTTTGGAGTCCTGTCCCTGTCACGGTTCTGGCCCTGCAGAGCTGAGAGCCAGACCCTGGGCCCGGGTAAAATTCACAGATATTGTGATTATCACTTGGAATCTTCCCCAGGGGATGTTCTGTTCACTTCTACCTTGGTGGCTCCATTTCTGCCATCCTGTGTGGCAGAGAGGACATTTTTCCAGATGCTTGTGAGCATTATACACAGATGTTGAGGCTTTATATTCCTCCTGCGGCTCGAACGTCTTGGGGTGCACCTGGTTGTGTGTCATTTTCAGTTTCCAATCTTAAATTCAAACTGTAATAGATTCAGTAGGTAAAATAAGCTCTATCTTTATTATAATTTAGATAATCACTAAGGAAATCGAAGCAAATGAATGGAAGAAAAAATACGAAGAAACCCGACAAGAAGTGTTGGAGATGAGGTTAGACTGGAAGTTTGGGGGAGGGATTGGAGACCCTTATGCATTATTATTAGATTTCATATAAATGAAGTGATGAAAGTATTTGCTTATCACAGAACCTACTGTTGAGAACTTGGGGGCATTGATATTTGCACCTTAATTTGTGACTGTGACAGCATCTTTCCATGAGGATTGCTGACCAGTTATTCACATACAGTAGCTTCTTGTGGGATGCTGAGAAGTAAGCAGAACCCACATGATTCTTGTCTTTTGAAAAGACATCAATTTGTGCAAAAATACCCAGTTCAACTAAAGAGTAAGATTTATTGACATTCGATTCTGGAGGCATTATAATCCGTAATACTTTTCTCAAATTAATTATGCATGATGGCTTCAACTTTCATAACCATCAAGTAGGTTATAAAAAGCATATTAACAGGAAACAAAATTGATTGACCTCACATTCAAATCTTTTTTATCTTTGCGGCTCATTCCCTAGAATGGAGAGTTAGAGGCTGTGAAATAACTGAAGATAGGATCAAAGAAGAGAAAAGCATAATTTATGCATTTGTACAGTCAGCACTCGAATGATTAAGACGTATTTTAAATATGCCCCCTCTAACTTATCGCTCTTGTATTACTTGTGTTTTGGCCATTTCCTGGGTGTGAGGTCCCGTGCCAGGTGTGGTGGGGAGGAAGGGACGGCCCCTGCCCCTAGGGAGTTTACGGTAGCCACGATAGAGGACTTGGATGCAGGGTCGCAGTGATGGGCACTGCCAGTGGCTGCAGGGAAGCACACAGGGAAGACTGCCCGTCCCTGGACAGGGTCGGCGGGGTCAGGGAAACTTGATGGCACTTCCCTGAAAAGAAAGGTCAACATGACAGGGTAGTCTTTAAAGTCTTTGAAAAACTGAAATGCTTTTGGAGCTAGGACGGTAAAATAAAGTTTATGACTAAATTGGAGAGGACAGACTGCCCAAACGGGTAGATTTGTTCACTTGAACATCGTTCAAATATTTCTTTGTTCAAATGTTCCATTTGTTAGCGCGTTTAATTGTTTGGGGGCAGCATTTCTGCAATGTCTGTTGCAAAATCTCTTCTGATAATTTTTTTTTTCAAGGAAAATTGTGGCTGAATATGAAAAGACCATTGCCCAAATGATTGGTAAGGACTTTTTTTTTTTTTCTGGTGTGAGCCATAGGTTTCATGGATGGTTTTCAGATCCGAACACAAGCCCGCGTTTGTCTGTCACCTAGATCCAGATGATGCTCACTGTTGGCAGTGGTTGTGTTCTACAGGGTTGCCACAAACACAGTAAATGCCGAATATTGAATGCTGAACCGTTGCTTTAGGGAAAGTACAGGGTGAGGTTGCTGCGGGCCTCTGGTCACAACATTTTTGTCAGTACGTAACCTTGTCTTACGTTTTTGTCTGTTTAAAGACATCTCATTTAACGTTGACTCATTACCATTGAACTCCTGGCCCCAGTACTGTTGTTCATGCCTGAATGAAGATTGTAGGATGAAGGCATTTTCTTCATAAGGCACTTTACAGCCTTAGAAGCACTAGACGGCACTTCAGCCCCCCACCCAGGGGCCATTTTAAACAGCAAAAACTGCCAACAGAAAGCACAAAAATGCAAAAAAAATATCATGGTACTAGAGTAGACTGAAAAGGACACTTGTTTGCAGTAGGAAACAAGAAGGCAGAGTGTCGCCCTGATCAGCCTCAGCTGGGAATGTGCGTGTCAGGTGACTCAAATCTTTTGCCACTCTGCACGTGACCAGGAATGTGCCACAAGTATTGATTTTGGGGTTGCAAATAAATTTTAGCAAGTGGATGAATTCACAATCCACAAATAATGAAGATCAGCTGTTGTCAGGTTCATTTTAGAGCCCAGCAAATGCTTGGATTGTGTGAACAGCCCTCTACCTGGCCCCCAGAGCCTTGATGGCTTGGTCACATCATTTGTGCCCCCAGGTGGGGTCTTTGTTTCGGCACTGTGTCCTTAACTCTGCTGCAAGTCATATTTCCCTCTTAGAACCACTGGTACCTTTTACAAAACGACAGTGGTTGGTTCTCTTGCACTGAGTTTGGAATAACTTGGTAGCCAATATCATCAGGATTGACTGCCTGGGTCTTTCTCTACTTAAAGCACTTCGTAAGTACTAAAATAATACATTTTATGGTCCACATCACCTCCTGCCTTCCCAGTATAGGACCTTTGCCAACACTATTCCTCTGCTAGAATATTCTCCTCCTGGGTAGCTGCATGGCTCCCTCCATCCTTCAGCCATTTTGGGTCCCTGTCAAATCTTTCCTCTGAGAGGGGTCACTCACTCTATATGAAATGGAACCCTGACCCCTTTTGCTCTGCTTTGTTTTTCCCTCATCGCTCATCGGCAGCTGTCTCTCCCACTGATGCAAGTCCTTGAGAGGAACACTGCTATGTCTGCTGCTGGCCCCCCCCCCCCCCCCCGCCCCCCCACCAAGAGGGCAGCCGCTAACTATCTGTTGAGTGAATATGCCATTACTTTTGATTGTGGTTCACAGAGGATGAACAGAGGACAAATATGACCTCTCAGAAAAGCTTCCAGCAGCTGACCATGGAGAAGGAGCAGGCCCTGGCCGACCTTAATTCTGTGGAAAGGTCCCTTTCTGATCTCTTCAGGAGATACGAGAACCTGAAGGGTGTTCTGGAAGGGTTCAAGAAGGTAGCATGTCCTTTTCCTTTTGTCTGCTTAGTAGTGTGTTTCCTTGGTAATGAATTTTTAAACATATATGCCAGAGGTGTGGGTAGCCTTCTAAAGATTTCGGGGCCCATATATCATTGGTCTTATATCTTCTGTTCCGGTGAAGGTGGAGATTTTCTTTCCCCTTTTTTCTTTCCGTGGCCGTTCAGGCGTCTGGCCCACCGGGTAGCATGTCTTGGTCACTCCTCTCCTGGGTCAGGCTACAGCCAGACTGTGGTATGGAGTAGAAGAAGTGTCGAATCTTCAGACCAAAGGAGAATTCTAGAAATTGTTTTTGATAATTCCCCAATTTAATATTAGTAAAAGGTAAATTTAGCATTGAAAAATTCAGGCTACATATTCTAGAAGAAAATAAGTATAATGTTTCAGATTCAGATGGTAAGTGGGCATATTGGTTCAACTTAGTTGCACATCATCAATAAGACCCATTTATAGCAGTGAACATTCTTTTTGTTTCCATAGTAAAACGAAAATGAGACTGGCTAGTTTCCCTACAGGGAGACTCAGAATCCCATTCACTTTTGAAGGATGGTCTCCCTAAACCAGGTTTATCAGTGTCACTGACCCTTACTGTGTTTTGAAAATGTATACATGAAGAAAGTATCTAGAATTTCTTCAGTAAGACTTATTGTGCCGTTAAAGAGTAGAATTTAAAGGCATCTGAAGTAGTGAGGTTTTCTCATTTTTTTTTTTTAAATGAAAATTCTGATACATGGGATGTCACTAGTTGAAGAAAAATGAAATGACAAGGTTGTTATTGTTGTTTTTAATTGTCATTTTGGAACAGAATGAAGAAGCCTTGAAAAAGTGTGCTCAGGATTATTTAGCCAGAGTTAAACAAGAGGAACAGCGATATCAGGCCCTGAAAATCCACGCGGAGGAAAAACTAGACAAGTGAGAGCTCACAATAAGATCTGTTTCATGTTTCGTGATGTTGTGGGGAGATTGAGAAAGGCCAAAAAACCACCCAAGGTTGTTTTGCAATCCTAGCTTGCATTGGTGCGTGTGTGTGTGTTTTATTAATTTTTTGAATAGGTAGTATCTTCACATTAAACATTAAAAAGCATAGAAAGATCTACAGGATCTCTCTCCCACCCTTTCCCGTGTCCCTTGCTCCCCTGCTTTCCTCACCCCAGGTCATCACTTGTTTGCTTTCTTCCATCCCTGCAGACACTTTTTCCCTTCTCCCCTGTCCCAGAGAACAGCTCCATCACACCACAGGATCACCTTTTTTTTAATGTGATGAGAACCTTCTTTTTTATGGAGATAACACCATACTTTGCATTGTTCATTTAGTGCTATATTTTGGAGACCTTTCCATGTCAATCCATGAAGGGGGTCCGTGTTTTTCTTAGCCTCCATACGGTAGTTCCAGTGTTGAAATGTCATGTATTTAACCAGCCCCCTCCTCCTAGGCACTCGGGGTACTGTACACAGTGCTGCTGCGGAAGGTGACCTGGTATGGTTCTCATTTGGTGCACATGTGAGTTATCTATATGCTAGAAGAAGGATTGCTGGGCCAAAGAATCCTTTGTAATAACCATTGTCAAATTGCCCTCACCTGACGTTCGTCAGTTTATCCCTGCACTAGGTGTGCGAACATCTCTTCTCCCTACAGCTTTGCCCATGGATCAGATTTTTGGTTTTCTGTAAACCCAATAGATAAAAGATGGTATTTTGGTTAGAGTTTTCTTTTTTTGACAAGCAAATAGAGCATTTATTTTATTCAATGTAGTTTTTATTGCGTTTATCTTACGAAATTGAACCTATTTTAGCAGCTGTCTGTATATACGCTTTCTTTGCCTTGAATGACTCTTCTTTGCCTGGTTTTCTATTGTCAGTTTATATATTATACATTATAAATACGTTATTATATTTATGTACTAAGGATGCCGGCCATTTGTGATAGGAGCCCTGTATAATTTTCCTAGTTTGTCTTTTGGCTTCTAGTGTTTTTTGATATGCAGAAATTTGTTTTTATGTAGTGAAATTTATCAGTCCTTTGTTTTAGGGCTTCAGGATCTTCTGTCATGGTAACAAAGATCTTCTCTGCGCTGTATATAAAATATTCTCCCATGTTTTCATTCTAGTACTTTTATGGCTTTATTTTTAATCCTTAAATCCAACATGTTTGGAATTTATCCTGGGGAACGGTCTGAAGAATGCGTCCAACTTTATTTTTTAACTAAAAAGTAATACTTGTACGTTTTTCTGTCTCTCTTCATATTTATAAAACGTTTTAAGTTCCCCTGTCTCATCCCCACCCCCAGAGGTACTACTATTAAAGGTTTATTAACAGGGGCACCTGGGTGACTCAGTTGGTTGAGCATCTGACTCTTGATTTTGGCTCAGGTCATGGTCCCATGGTTGTGGGATTGAGCCCCATATCAGGAGCCTGCTTAAGATTCTCACTCCCTCGGGGCATTAGGTGGCTCAGTTGCTTAGGTGTCTGACTCTTGGTTTGCATTTCAGGTCATGATCTCATGGTTTGTGGGTTCAAGCTCCATGTCAGGCTCTGCGCTGGCATCACGGAGCCTGCTTAGAATTTTCTGTCTCCCTCTCTCTCTGCCCCTTTTCCGCTTGGCTGTTTCTGTCTCTCTCAAATAAATGAAAGATTCTCTCTCCTTCTGCCCCCCTCCTCGGCTGGTGTATGTGTGGATGCTCTCTCAGAAAAAAGAAAAAATTTTGTTGTGTATCCTTCCAGTTTTTTCTTGACACCTTTACAAATACTACCTAAAGCGGCTTTGGTAGCCGCTTTAAATATATATATATATAAAATATATATATATATTTAAAAATATAAAAATATATTTGTCATGGAATACAAATTTACTTTTTTACTTAATAGTATATCATGGCCCTTCTTGATGTCAAACACATAGCTCAGTCTAATTATTTGTATTAGGTTATAGGACTATTCCATCCCTTTACTGATGGGCACTTAGATAGTTTCGCAGCTTTTCAGTTGTAAACACTGCTGCAGTGAACATCCTTGTGCACAGTGATTGTACAAAGTGGAAGTATTGCCATGGATACTTAAGGTTACTTAACAGAGTTGCTAGGTCAGAAGATGTATGCATTTTATTTTATTTGTTTATTTTAAAAACATTTATTTATTTTGAGAGAGAGAGGGAAGGAGAGAGAGAATCCCAAACAGGCTCTACACTCTCAGTGCTGACCCCAGTGTGGGTCTCAAACTCACAAACTGTGAGATCATGACCTGAGCTTTTGGCTGGAATTGGATGCTCAACTGACTGAGCCCCCAGGGGCCCCAGGTGTATGCATTTTAAATCCTGATCGTTACAACCCTGTCTATCGCCCTCCACGAAGACGGTGCCAGCTTTCACTTCCCCCATCAGCTTGTAAGCCTGTTTCCTTACATCTCGGCCATAATGGGCTAAGATCGTTTTGGTTCATATTTGCCAATCTGATAAAGTTCTAAAGTTTATCATTTAAATTTGCATGCCTCTGACTACTAATGAGCTTTTAGCCTCCTTTCATCAATTAATTGGTCATTTATCAATTGACATTTATAGTTTTAGAATTTTCTTTTGTATCTCATTAATGAAGTCACTTTTAGTTCTAGCTTCCTAGGTGCCAGTGGTTAGCATCCTGACTCTTTAGCTGTGATAATCCCACAGATGACCCTGCCTGCTATTGTATTGGGTTAAAAAAAAAAATCCAAGATTGCTGTAGAAAGTGTCACATGATTCCATTTTCTAGTGACATAGGAATTTTGAAGTGGCCTATGAGATTAATTCTACCGCTGGTTTGCACCTTGGAAATTTCGTTAGCAGTTGTGTATCCACTGAAGTTTTATAAATTTAAATGGAATGATCTGGGTCACCAGTTTTATCATGAAGTCTGCACTGTTATTCTTCATCTCACAGATGTCAGCAGTTAGTGTCTTGACTCCTTAGCTGTGACCTTGAACTAACTATGTGCTTTTTGTCCCTTTACTCCACAAACAAAACACCACAAACAGAGCCAATGAAGAGATTGCTCAGGTTCGAACAAAAGCGAAGGCCGAGAGCGCGGCTCTCCATGCTGGACTCCGGAAGGAGCAGATGAAGGTGGAGTCCTTGGAAAGAGCCCTTCAGCAGAAGGTACACAGAGGGGACGTGGGCTGACGACCTGCGAGACACGTGGTTTTCCTCTGTGGCCATGGCTAGCTTGTCATGGATTGGGATGAAAGAGAAGTGTCATGTTTTTTCCTGGGCACTTGGATCCAGCTGCCCTGGGAAGTGACTCAGGTGGACACAAACAAGGCAGACCGTGAACTCCCAAGCCTCTGAGTGGGAACCATCCCCAGGCAGACGCAGAGAGGAAATTGCATTAACCAGTTCAGGGGACCAGACGCTTCTTAGGCTCCGAGGCTACCTTTTTTTTTCTTTCTTTTTGGTTTTTATGTAATATATGAAGCCATCTTCCCCCTTGATTGCAGCTTTGCCCTCCCAGGGACCTTGGCAACATCTGGAGGTGCATTTAGTTGTCACGACTGGGAGACGCTATTGGCGTCTCGTGGGTAGAAGCCAGAAGTGCTACTAAACATCTAACCATGCACAGGACAGTCCCTGCAACAAAGACTGACCCGGCCCAAAATGCCAGTGGTGCTGCGGTTGAGAAATTCTGCTGTAGGTAAATAGAAATCAGGCCCCTATTTCTTGCTACCCAGTGATTCTTAGATTTCATTTTTGTGTGTGCCTTTAGTGGTTTGCTTTGTGTGTCCCCAGCTGTGTGCTCGCACCGGTGGCATCCCTTCACTAGGGGAAGGGATTCTATCTCGAGGCCTGCTAACCCCTAGACAGTGGTCTCTGGGATACTCAGATTCCAGAATACCTGTGTTTTTAACAAGTATTGCAGGTCATTCTCGTGATAGTGAGAGAATTTGGGAACTGAGATGTTCAGGGACAAGCTGCAGAGGGCCCGTGGTCACTCTCATGCCCTACTCAACTGAAGCATGACTTTATGGACACAGGAACATTTTTCAGGGGACAAGATTCCCTTTCTTTAAAGGGTGACATAGAAAAGTTACGAACCACTGAGTCAGGATGTCTAGGCAGAGAGTGGCCAGTCTCGGGACCACTTGGGTGAATGACCTGGATCTCAGGATGCAGAGTGGCCTGAATCACCATGTCATTTGTCTTTCAGAACCAAGAAATTGAAGAACTAACGAAAATCTGCGATGAGTTGATTGCGAAGCTGGGAAAGACCGACTGAGTCTCCCCCTCGTTAGCTCAGCAGGTCTGCATTTGGCTGCTTCTCTCTTAACCACAATTATCTTGCCTTATCCAGGAAAAATTGCCCCTTTGCAGAGAAAAAACAACAACAACAAAAAACTTTAAAAAAGCACATGCCTACTGCTGCCTGTCCCGCTTTGCTGCTGACACAACAGCCCTGGAAGTACCCCTGGAGCATCGCACAGGCCCAGAAGGAGCGGTGTCGGGCTACCATCCACTGACGGGTCCGGTCAGACGGGCTGCTACGTTTGGGGTCATGATTTCTCAGTCTTCAGTCCGTTTAAAAGTCCTCTTTCCTTTTCCAAACACGTTAAATTTGGGATTTTGTGCCTACTATTTGGGCTCATCTCTGTCCACCACCTGAGTTTTTTGGTGACCGGTTTATTCCATCTTTTAAATTTAGTGTTCAACATTAGTGGTTTTATTTGGGAGAAATTATTTGGCCTCTTGTTACTTCTGGTTTGTAAACAGAAGGGACTCTGAGTACCCGTTTATACACATGCGCGTGCACGTTTCTATTTGCTGCTGTTTTTTCTCTGAAGTATAGTCAACTAAGAGCTTCTCCACGGAAGACCATACTTCCATAAGTGTATACCCCTATCTTGAAGTAGAAATGTGGCTCAGAATTTAGGGAATGGAAGGTGTGAAGACCCCAGACTCAGGTTTTACATCTGGGGGAGACTTTTTGCCACAGTGTTTCATTGTCCTGTATTGAGACCCTCCTCGGCCTTGACAGGTGTGGTCCCCTTGGGGTCAGTCCTCAGACCGCATGCCGAGCGGCCCTGGCAGGCAGGACCCCCTCAAAGCCGGGGTGCGGCAAGTCGGTCCCAGAGCAGTTCAGTCTCCTCTGCTTCTGTTTGTTGCTACAAAATCACCATTTACTCTTTATTTATCATCTTGCTATTTGAAATATGCAATGAAAATCTGCTTGTAAAAGGCTTAGGTGATCTCCTTTAGTGAAAAGGCAACTGTGGCCGTGGTAGCAGTTAGAAGGTGAAGAAGCAGTGTTTTACAAGTGTGACGTGTCGTTCTTCAAAAACTTTATTAAGGCAAAAAATTCCTTTCAAACTTAGATGGTAGAATTTTTAACAAAATGGGCCATAAAAAAAATCATGTGAACCGCTCCAAAAATCAGCGCATTTGGAATATTGTTGAACAAAGAGCGCCGAGTCCCAGAGCAGAGGAGTGCAGGAGCAGAGCCGCCCTCAAAGCCTAACTCCTCACGCTCGTGCTGCGTGAGGAGTCACAGGGTGGGGGCCTTTAACCCCAAGATGGAAATTTTCCATGTAATGCCAGTAAACTCCCCTCCGTGTGGTAGACAAAACCAAATCCATGCAGTGTTTTAAAGCACTCCCGTTGTCTTAATCTTACACCCTCTTCACGGTGATATGCACTCTATTCCATACAAGTAAGTTTTCGTACCTTTCTTGTAAAACTCTTGCATGATCCAACTTCCGCAATGAATTGTGCCTCGTGGAGAACCTCTGTAGATCTGTAAACATGGGTTTTTTTTTCCTGTAGCCGTGTACTGTTCACAGGGGTGCAATCTTCAGCCCCAGGGAGGTCAGTAGTGTCCTTTGAAGCTAGAAGTCATGTCTTACCGATATGCATTTATCGTAATTGGTGCTTAGGCTGTATTTTAAAGCCTATTGTCTTAATATTTTGTACAAAAAAAGAACAGAAATGATCTGTGGTTGGAGAAGTGACCTGACAATCATGTTGGCTCTGAAAGCAGCTGCCACAGTCCTGCGTGGTCGCTGCACGCAGTCAGAGTGCCCGTGGACTGCATGTGTCTCCAGTTGCTGGAGCTGGTTTCTGTTGCCGGCCCTCCGCCCCGAGGGGAATTAACTGTGCGTTTTGCAGGAAGAAACGTTGCTCAGCCTTTCTGCTGCTGTGTTTTGGTGAGATATCTATGTTTTGTTTGTTTTATATTGATCTGTTTTAAGCACAGAAGGCTTATAGTGGTCTCCATTCTAAATCCACGGTCCTCCATTCAGGCTTCGTGTGTATATTAAAAAAGTAGCTGTGTGTTAAAACCAAGGTGATGACAATCCTTCCCTAGCGTGCTGGTGGGAGAGACCTCCTAAAGAAACCCCAGCAAATGAAGTTGCTGCACAAGGATTACGAAGGGCCCTGGTCGAGGAACGTGGGCCTCTGGCCTCTCGACCACAGGCAGTACAAGGGCGTGTCCTTCCTCCTCATCTAATAGATGGATATTCTCTGACAAGAATAAAAATGGAGCTTGTTTAACTGGCAAATCAAGAGAATATCCAGGGCAGAAAGAAGTTATGTTTGTTTCTCTTGAAAAAATAAGCAAAAGCAAAACAAACAAACAAAAACTTTCAAAATTTTGGAGAGTAAGAGTTTAGCCTACAGCTTTGCTTCAAAGCATGTGAGGGCCATTACTTGTGGGGTAGGAAGTAGTAAATTCTGTCAGCAGAGTGAGAAGCAGAAGTGAAGGGAAGCCGCGGTCCCAGATAGCTTTGGGAGCAGTAGGTGATCGACTTTGTTGAGACTGTGGACCCAGAGCCAATTCTTAAGTTTTTGATTCTGGCAAAATGTGGATAGATGGTCTTCACCTAAGAGTGTTTTAACGGCGAGATTTAGTGTAAGACAGACTGAACAGTTTGTCACTTGGTTGGCTAGTCAGAGTCAGACTTCCTGAGATTTACTTTATTTGGAGAAGCTCCTGGAAGCCAGTGACCTGCCCAAACCTTTTGTTCTGTAAAAGTTGTTCTGGAAATACTGAGAAGCCCAGTTTTCTCACGTGGTTTCTAGCTTCTTCAGACCCACCCCAAATTAGGAAGTGCAGAAGCACATGATGGTGAAAACCTCTGAGGATCTGGCGGCCTTCCAGAATGATATGGAATCCAAGGGGAGATTCGTGGTACGTCTTGGAGACTAGCTCAAGTTGAATTCTCTGTGCAGCCAGTCACCCTTTCTACCTGTCCCACACCGTGTGCGATACTCACACAGATACTTAGATATTTATGAGACAGCCCCGAATCAGCACTGTTTATAAACGGGGACCATAAAGTGCCCCGAACGTTCCTGGGCTGACTGAGCAGCCAGACCAAAGCGCTCGTTTTAAATAAAGGTAACAGGAGGCCCATTGGTGGCTCTCCTGGCTCAGAATGGAGTTTTAAAGAGCAAGCGTCAGTAAGTCTTGTGTGCTGTGGTTGGAGGTGATTCCGCACATCCTTTTTTAGTGGATAAAAGCTCTGATGCTCCGTTTTAATTTCCTGTGGTTCTTCACTCCGACTGGCAGCCACGTCCTGACCTGTGCGTGACTGCCGTCCCTGTCGTCGTGGTGTGACCGTACGAGCTTGCTCTCGGACTTGGGTTTCTTACTTTAGCCTCTTGTTGGGAAGAGAGAAACTAGATGTTGAAAGATTAAATGTTTCAGGCAAAGGATTTTAAAGTAAAGATGTATATATTCTGAAGATTTTAAAAGATAGATTATTCTTTGCTTATTGAAGAGTAAATATAGTCTGGGAATCCCAGAATGCCAAGCCAAAGGTCTAAGAAGTCATCTTCTTTAAAGATTTTAATAAAGTAGTATTGCGAGGAGACTTCTGTCCAAAAAGGTTTGACTGGCCTCCAGATTCCAGTGGTTTTGGAAAAGCAGGGTGTCTCTCAAACCTTGAGTCTCCCGCATAGTAAACGTAAAAAAGGACTGATACACTAGGCAACTTCTCTCTGAGGGTCTCCTCTGGAAGATACTGTAAACGGCAGCACTTCCAGGGAAGACCCACTCCCTCGTGCCCAGAGCTAGCATTCTGGAGACTAAAGATTGCACTTTCCGTAGTTCTTTGTCCAAATGCAATCCCATTTCTGTGCCTCTTAGCATGCAGTTAGATTTGGACAAACAAGATTCCTAAGGAATGACTTTATTAACTATAATATGGTTACAGCTGTTACCTATAGATACATAGATATATAGATCCTGGTTATAGTTCTAATATGGAGACGGCGCACTTGACGCCGGCCTGTGGCAGTCTGAATAACGCTTTAACCCATCTGGAGGCGGCCAGGCACAGAGCTGAAGTGTGGCTTGAACCTTCCCTGTATCCATTCTTCACTCTAGAGCCCTGAAGGTGTCACTTTGTCCCCCTCTGCCTTTTAGTGGTATCTGAAATACACAAAAGTCTGCCCCAGTCACATTGTTAAGCCGATGCTCTGTGAAGAACTTCCACGTGGACATGTGAACATTTGAACCCCAGACCCCACCCTCCGTCCGGATACAGGGCAGCCTGCAAGTTCCCAGCCACACCCACAGCCTCTGCCCAGCCCCCTCTCACACCAGTGGACAGGATCCAGGCGTTCCTTTTAAACCTCACAGGTAGCAGTCAGCTTGTCGGTGTCGCCATTAGCAAGCGTGTTTGCCAGTAGATGCCCATTTGTACTCACGTGCCAACAAGTAAACGTCAGCTGCCCATCTGCTTCCGCTGCGTCCCCGCGGGTGCCGGGAAGTGTGTGAGGAACCTCTCGTCAGGAGGCGTGAACACTCCACTGACTACCGCTGTCAGGATCGTGTCGTGTGGAATAATCATCTACATAAATTTTATATGCACAGTACTTCCCCTTTTATATGTCAGGTAAATATTTGTAAAAGTTATACTCACACAAATGAAATGATTATAATGATTACTAATATATTTTTTCCATGTTTCATTGCCTGAATAAAAACTGTTTACCACTGTTAGAGCTGGGTGTGTGAATGTTTTTCCCCTGGTTATAAGTCATCTTCTCCCCGAGTGTGAAAATTTTTGTCAGCCTCGCTTTTTTGAGAACTCCGTATTTCAGCCTAAAAATAGAGAAGATGACATTTTCACTGCACTCATTTTCGTGAAATTTTATGTATTTGGTTGGGTGCGTAATTAAAACAAACAAATTTCGGAATTCAGACCTTGCCGCATAAATTTCCATGCCTTCGCATCTGTGCAAACAAAGTTTTTAATTGAGTGCTTCTTGGTTTTGCTTAGAGACTGCCTGTCGGCCCTGGCATTTTTCAAGCCCTACGAACCTAAGTCAGCTCCAGCTCTCTGGCTCCTCGGAGGACACAGGATAAAGCCAGAACTGTGCAAACATTGCAGGAGGGCCCACAGAAAATAGTGGGCGATTTAGGTTTCTTCTAGGTTAACACCAGGAAAAACATTTTCAGTCCCGGCTAGACTGACTTTCTGCTTACAGGGTTAGGGGACAGGGCAGGACATTTCATGAGTTTGATTGTAGGAAAAGGTCAATGAAAAGGCTGCTCAGGGCTCCACTTCACAACCTGGTGGGGAACCCCTGAGGAGGGTCAGAGCACTTTCGCTTTCTTACCACTGGCCACATCGTAACACATCACAGCCTAGAAAGTTCCGTCCTAAAAGGAAGGTCTCTCACTCGTGTGCTCCTGAACCAGCAGGAGGGGACACAGCCTTTCACTAAGCGCTGACGACAGGAGAAATCTCATCTTCTAAGAATTCTTGAGAAGATGGAAAGTACCTTTCTACTATCACAGAATTTTATTCTTAGACAATATGAGACCAAAAGTGTTTTTCACACTTTTGCGAATAGGGGATCATGGGATCATTTTAGTTAGTGGCAGCCCTTGTTTTGTAAGAGAACCCATGACAGGAAGTCAGGTATCACACAAGGATAAGCAGTGTTTCATGAAAGCTCTTTTAGGTAGAAGTGTGTTTGGACTAGGGCATGATGAAAAACTCATTTCTTGCTACGGCTGGTGGTCAAAGTGTGAAAAAACAGTCAACAACTCAAGGCCTTCTGCACTGATAGAAACTGAGGCCTGGGGAGAAATGTGGCCAAGATTGTGCAGCACTCAAAGCGGGCAACAAAATGGTCACTTCGTCCTTTTCAAGCTCTTCAAATCCAAGACCTCTCCTGTTTGGATAAAGTAGGCATTTTCTAAGTTTGTAGGCATTTGAGGACCAAACAGAATGCCTTTTTTTCTGCATGCATTTGTTCATTTATCAAATAAATACTTCCTGCCTCTACAGAGTTCACAGTGAACCATGCCAAGTTTCCAAGGCTGGTTAGCAGAAGAGAAGTTGTTTTCACGTTTGACTGAAATGTAATTGAAATATAAGTGAGAACGTTAATTACAACTTCTTTCCCAGCAGAAGGCCATTCCTAGCCTACACTTCTTTGCCCGGTTGTGATTTGTAGGTTATTTTATCCAAGTTATTGTGCCTGAGGATGGGGACACAGTGGCGCTTACAGATAAATCTAACCCCCCAAAACAGGACAGGAGGGCTTGGAACTGTTGTTATGTGCTGTGGCAAGGGCCCAGTGCTGAATGAGTCTGGGAGGAGAGACCATGTATTGGGAAGGACACACAAATCGAGTAGAGCACCAGGCCATGTATACCAACACTTGGCTCAGACTGGCTTTAGATCCAGCGTCTCTGTGATGTCACCTGCCTGAGCGTCAGTTTTCCCAACTAGGGATAATAGTTCCCACCTCCCCAAGTGGAGGTGAGGGCTCTGCAGGAATGGATGCATAGTGCCTGACCCTTGGGTCCTTAAGGGGTAGTGATTATCATCACCTAACGCTTGGAATTGAAAGTTTCAAATGGAGACTCTCCCTTAGAGCCAATTGATTTTGCTAGGAGACATGTCTAACAGAGCTTCAGAAACTTCAGCGTTCCCTAACTTTGTTCTTTTATTAGAGATTAATAGGAAGCGGAAGTGTGGAGGATTTGCCGAAGACACGTCCCAGAGTTAGGGTGATTGAGCAGTTAAATGGAAATGGGAGGCCCTGTTTGTGCCACAGACTGTTCTAAGCCCTCCCCCCCCGCCCCCGCCCACACACACCTGTACTAGCTGTGAAATCACAGATCTCTGATCTAGTTTTCCTTCACCAGAATATGTAGGTCTCATGGGAATATATATTATGCAAGAACAGACCGAAGATATAATTCAGTTAACACAACTTCACTTTTTAGCTAATTTAAAGGAAAAGGTAAATGATGTTTGTGTCCTCTGTACACGAGATAGGTGCCTTTACAAATACATCACATCAACAATTCCATGTGGTTGGAATTTTTTTTTTAACTGATGGGGAAAATAAGGTTGAAAAACACCATGAAGGGGTTAACTGAAAGGTGGAGCCGGCATAGAACCCAGGTCTCTGATCTCAAATCCCATCCTCCTTAAAGCCAACTCCATGTTGAGGGACAGTTTGGAACATACCCTTCAAGAAGGCAGAGGATGATTTTTTTATTCAGCCAACGAATTTTCTCCCTCCTTCCTCATCCCCAGTGGGACTATTTCAGTGGAAATCAGAGAAGCCATTGCAGAGCGTCCCCACAGTTCAGGCATGTAAGACCAGGAAACCTCAGGGATGCATTATCAGTTCCCATATCGGAATGGCGCAGTTAAGGGAGAACAAAACTCCAGGTCTACCTTTGGCTTCCTGGCTTTGCAGAAAGAGCTTGGCACGGGAGACGGAGCCCCGGGTCCTAGTCCCAGCTTTTGTCAGCTGCGTTTAGTCAGGCCTCAACCCCTTCTTGTGGACTGAGAATGCTAGAAGGTCCCTTCCTCTGATTTCTGATTTCACAGGTCTGCCCAGAGTGCTGACTGTAAGGCAAAAGGGCTCCCGGTTTCCCTTTCAAAACCATTCTAGAAAGGCCTATCTTCAGATGTACTGACAATAGCTGACTTGCCACAAGGTGGTGGGTCCCAGGGGCTGTTTGCAGCGTCCACTATGGCCGCAGCGTTCAGAGAGGTAAGCGCCAGCCCCACGCCACCCAGGAAGGGAAAAGGCCTGGGCCCAAGCCCCAAGCCAACATCCAGGTTTGTGCTCATTTTCTCGGGCCACCTGCTCCAATCTAGGCCTCGGTTTTGTCCGCAGGATGAAGTCAGGCTTTATCCTCCAAGCCTCTCCCAAGAGTGTCATAGCCCCTGTCCCCAACACGCCCATGACTCAAGCGGACCCGTGCTGAACAGTCCCCGGGCACTATGCCCACACACTCAGGCGTTCGTTTGCGCACCCTGCGGAGACAGCCAGCCCGGATCGCCATGCCTTTCTGGAAATAAAGTCCATTGCCAAAATGTGTTGAGTTCTCAAGATGTGCACACTCATAATCACAAGTATTCAACCGTAAGACACTCTATAAACAGGATTTTTTTTGTCCCAGACATCAAAAATGACAGCGCAGTTGGCTAGTTTGGTGCATTCAGACAAAAATCACCATATTTTACTAAAATCTTAGAGTTGTCGAGGTGTCGTGCAGTGAAGAACGTACCCGAGATTCCTCCGAAAAGGGTGGTGGTTACTGTAATTTGTCATTTATGAAGTTCTGGTTTTTCCAGATACTTTTTTTCTTTCGCCCCTTCAATTGATCTTTGTAACATTACCAGCTTTCGGCAAAAAACAGAGGTCTGAAATATATTTCCTGCAGCAGCTTCGAGTGCAAATGTGTGTGAATGGCCACTGGGGGGCTCCACTCAAACTGCGAGTCAAAACCCATTTGGGAGGGTGTGAAATAGAAGCCAGAAAAGAATGCTCGCTGTAAGAATTAACAGTGAAGGGAAGCACCGAGCTGTGGAACTTGAATTTCACCTACACATACGTGTGTGTACTAGGTTGCGATTTTTAATGAGTTAGACGGTCTGAAAAGTTGAAACAAAACAAAAAACAAAGACAACTTGGAATTTTGAAAGCCACTAACTAACTGCAGGTTATGGGGAAGGGGGCTGTGGAATCAGTCATGTGTTTTGTGGGAGCCAAAAAGAGCTTATAGTTGCAATGTCCATCTCTTAAAAGCAAGCTACGGGGTTAGAACACTTAGTAACCAACAGCCATGGTTTATAGTAACTTGAAATCAAAACTTTAGAACAGGAACACAAAGCTGCGTTCAGAAAAGAGGACATAATAAAAATTCCTTCCTAATGCTCAGTTGAGAGGGAAAGAAAAGAGGAAGTTGGGGGAGAGCAGATAAAGAATAAAAGCCTGCGAGCTCAAAAGTGCTCTAAAAAGTAAAATCTATTTTGAAAAAGAATGAAAGCAAAATTCTCTCCTTTCCCCAATCCCCACCATCCTGAACGCTCCCTCCTCTGTGGCAGCAGAGGGCGGGCTCCTTAGGTTCAAAGCTCCATTTCTGTTTTGCTACCAGTACTAAAAGCTAACCTGACTCACATCCTAAAAAACGAACCTCTTCTGTTAGAAACAAGACCTCTCCCTGATTACAAGTTCTTATCCTAAACTCCATTTGCACAGTTCAATTCTAAATTATACTTAAAATTTTTTTAAATGTTTACTTTTGAGAGAGAGAGAGAGAGGAGAGGGGAGGGGGAGAGAGAGAGAGAGATACAGAATCCCAAGCAGGCTCCAGGCTCTGAGCTGTCAGCAGAGAGCCGGATGCTGGGCTTGAACTCAGGAACCATGAGATCATGACCTGAGTCACTTGACTGACTGAGCCACCCAGGCACCCTAATTCTAAGTTATAAATGTGTGCATACGTAGTAAGTGACTAAAATCTTAATCAGATTTGGGTGATTTTCTGTTACCTTGAACACCATTCTTCAAGTAAATAACACAAGCATCCTAATTGCACCTAAGCGAATAAGTGACTAATGAGGTTACCACAGGTTTTTTTAGAAGTGTGATAAAATTGGAAGTTGAATCTGGGAGTCTGAGTTAGTGAAAGAGACCTAAAGAAAAAACCAAGAAGTCTCAGCACAATGTCACAGGTGGAAA